TCCTCCTTTTTAAGGCTGAATAATATTCCATGGTATGGATGGACCACATTTTGTTTATTCACTCATTGGTCAATGGATATTTGGGTTGCTTCCACCTTTTTGGCTTTTGTGATAATGCTGTTATAAGCACAAGTGTACAAATATCTCTTAAAGACCCTGTTTTCAGTTTGAGTATACACCCAGAAGTGGAATTGCTGCATCATATGGTAATTTTGTGTTTTATTTTTTGAGAACCTACCATACCATTTTCTATCACAGCTGCACCATTGTACATTTTTACCAGCAATGGACAAGGATTTCAGTTTCTCCACATCCTTGCCAACATTTGTTATTTGTTTTTTTGATAGGAGCCATCCTTATGGGTGTGGAGTAGTATATTTGCTACATTTCCCTAATGGTTGGTGATGTTAATCTCTACTTTTTAATTGGAATATTTAGTCCATTTATATTTAGTACAATTATTAGGGTATTTGGATTTAAATCTACCATCTTGATGTTTGATTTCTGTTTTTCCATCTGTTTCTCTGTTTCTTCTTTCCTCCTTTTTTTTTTTTGGTGAATCAAGTTTTAAACAATTCTGTTTTATCTCCTTTACTGACTGAAACAGTGATTCCAAAGACAGATAGGTAGAAACCATGTAGTCCACAGAAAAACAGGGAAAATGATTGGGGTAAAAGCATGAAGACCCTTAGGGACCAATGGGACAGTGTGACATGTCCAACACATGAGTAATTACAGAGCCCAGAGGGGAGGCGGGGGACACAGTGAGACAGAAGTGCTTGAAGAACAATGATCAGAATCTTTCCGAATTTGGTGAAAGAAGTAAAATTGTAGACTTAAGAAGCTCAGTGAATCCCAAACAGTATAAATATCACTAAAAACACACCTAGACATCATTTTCACATTATTGAAAAACTGTAAGATTAACTTTAAAAATCTTGAAAGCAGCCAGAGAAAAACAACAGATTACACGCAGCATTGCAGAGACCATGAACTTACTGTCAGGAATGATGATGCTAGAAGCAAGTGGAGCTGCATCCTTAAAAGTGCTGAAAGAGAGATAGTCAACATTGAATTCTATACCCTTCACAAGTGAGTGTTACATACAGATGTCTTCAGAAAAAGGAACACTAAGAGAATTTGTTGCCTTCAACTGTCTGCTGCCAGAAGTGCCAGAGGAGGGTTTTCCAGGCTGCAGACACATGGTGCTGGAGTGAAACTCTAGTCCTTATGAGTGAGTGATGAGCATCACAGAGGGTAAATGCCTGGGGAAACGTTTTCTTTAAGATACATATTTAAAGAAAAATCAAAACCAATCTTGGGTTTGTAACGCATGCAGATGAGACACGTATGACAACTGAAACATAAAGAGCAGTAGACGCACGTGGACCTGCAGGGTCTGCATTTGCATGACGTCCTCCATCCTCGTTCTGAGCAGGCTGTGAAACAGCAGGGATGTGTGTTGCAGTCCTTAGAGCAACAACCATAAAGATAATACAAAGAATTGTAACTAAAGAACCAAAAGATAAATTGAATGGGAATTTCAAAAAATATTCAAATAATATAAGATGGGAAAGAGAGAGGAATGAAACACCAGCGGGACAAGTAGGAAATAAATTATAAAACAGCAGCCCTAAGTCCAGCTGTAGAGTCATGCATTTGCCAAAGCCCAACAGCGAGAGCGGCCCTGATGTAAACATGGACTTGAGGCGACAGTGACGTGTCAGCGTAGGTTCATCACGGTACCTCTTTGGGGCAAGACTTTGACAGCTGGGGATGCTCTGCTTGTGTAGGGGTGTTGGGTGTAGGAGACCTCCCTTATTTCCTGCTCAATTTTGTTGTGAACCCAAAACTGCTCTAGAAGATAAAGTCTTTTATGTACAAGGAACAAGCAGAAAGCAAATAATAAAATAGTAGATCTAAGTCTAGCCACAGTGATAATTACACTAAATGTTAATGGACTAAACTCTCCAGTTAAAAGGTAGAGATTATCAGACTGGATAAATAAGCAAGACCCTACTACGTGCTGCCTATAGGAGGTTCACTTTAAATATAAAAAACACACATTGAAAATAAGTGGATGCAAAATGTGTATATATACAACCAGCATAAGAAGTCTGGAGTGGCTAAATTAATGTCAGATAAAGTAGGTTCAAGATACAGAGTATTACCAAAGATACTGGGGAAATTCTAATGATAAAGGAGTTGTTTCATCAGGAAAGCGTATCGCTTATGAATGTGCCTCAGAACAAACGAAGTAACAGAGCCTCAGAACAAACGAAGCAAACTGACAGAATTAAAGGAAGAAATAAGCAGTTTCACAATCATATGTGATCTTAACGTCTCTCTCTCTCACCAGTCTCTCTCTCTCACCAATCGTTAGCACAAAAGACTTAAAGAAATCAGTAAAGACATGGAGAGTCTGAGCAGTGCTCCCAGGCATCCTGACCCGATTGATGTTTGTACAGAGCTACACCCATCAGAAGCAGAATATGGATTCCTATTTAGTTTACAACTGCTGTGCCCTCAAACAAGTTTCAAAAAAAAAGGAAGGAAAGCTGTATTTGTTTGCAAAGATCATGATTATTTACATAGAAGATCCTAAGAAATCTACAAAAAACTGCTAGAACTCTTAAGTGAATTAAGCAAAATCTCAGAAATTAAGGTTAATGTGCAGATTTTACTTGCATTTTATATACTAACTGCAAACTATTGTAAAATGAAATTAGAGATCTAATTCTTTTTACAAAGTAACAAAAAATAAAATATTTAGTAATGAGTTTAACAAAAGGTGTGGAAGACTGTCTCTTCACTAAAGGCCACAGAACATTGCCGAGAGAAACGAAAGACAGCTTGAGGAACTGGAGACAGGTAGCATGTTCACAGATTGGAAGATGGCCTGGCTCATGTTGTTACAGCGTCATTTATCCATCTGAACTGCAGCAGGCTCTTTTGTCATGACAAGATGATTCTGAAGTATGGAATGCCGGTGACCGAGACTTGTCAAAGTGATTAAACAGAGCAGGGCTTTACTCCACCAGGTGTCAGACTCTCTGTAAAGCTTCAGTAGTTGAGGTTCAGTATGTGTCCTTGGTGAAGGAAAGACACGTAAGTGAGTGGAATAGAATAGAAAGTCCAGAAATAGACCCACACACGACAGCTGATTCCCAACAAAGGTGTCGAGATAATTCAACATAGAAAGGAAAGTTTTTTTAATGAATGGTCCTGCAGCAACTGGATGTACATAGAGAAAGAGACAACCTTGATCTTTGCTTGACACCATCCTCGCAAAAGCAGTTCACAATATACAGACTGAGACTATAAAACTTGTAGAAGAAAACACAGGGAATCTTTGTGACCCTGAGGTCAAGGCAGGAATTCCTTAGGATGCAGAAAGCAAGAACCATAAAAGAAAAAAACCAATGCATTCAATTTTATCAAAATGTAAGCATTTGTTCTCCTAAAGATACCCTTAAGAAAATGAAATGGCAAGTCACAGATGGGAGACAATGTTTGCAGTGCATTTACCTGACAACACATGAGGAACTAGCACATAATAATAGACAACCTGACTGAACAAGGTGGCCCAGAGGTGCGGATGGTTATGTCACAGGAGAGGTGGGAAGACGTGTGTACGCTGAGAAGCAGAAGAGAGATGCTGACTGTCGTTGGTTACCAGGGAAATGCAGGATGAAACATCCAGGAGGACCCGCTGCTTGCCCACCAGTGCGAGGCCACGAGCTGGCAAGGCTGGAGCAGCTGAGCCGTGTACCGTGCTGGTGGGGGTGTACACACGGCCGCCACTGGAAGACAGGTGGGCAGCTTCTCAGAAGGTCACCTGGGCCCAGTGGTTCCGGGCCTAGGTATTTATCCAAGAGAAAGGAAGACTGGTGTCCATGCAGAGGTGGGCACAAGAACATCCCTGCAGCATCACCCAGTCACCAAATGTGGACACCGCCCCGGCCCGTCGCAGCACTGGGCCTAGGACATCCTCACCACAGACACCGTCCGGCCCCAGTGGACGATCTGAAGATCACCATGGGAAGGGAAGGAGCCAGGCACAGGGTGTGTGTGTGCAGTGTGGTCCGCTCGCCTGAAGCCTGGAAGACACAGCCTGATGTACAGAGGCAGGGCAGCCCAGGGGCTGGGCCAGGGGCTGAGGGAGGGGGCGTCCCACGTGGTTTGGACTCTTTAAGTGGTGCGGTATGTAAACGATACTCAGTAGTGTTGACTGGGTGGCAGACGGAGGTGCTGGTTGAGATCTGATTCCTGAATCAAAGGTGTCAGTGCGTCCGTGACATCAGTAGTAGAGAAGGTGCAGCAGGAGAAGCCTGTGTTTTTAATGGGACGGCGTGATGGGGGTGGGGAGGGGCAGCGTCCTCCGTCAGCACTGGACTGACCTGGCATAAAGCCAGTGACCCTGGGACCCTGGCCTTCACCCTCCACCTGCTCAGCACCAGGGCCCCGAGGCCCTGGGCCAGTGGAGCCAGAACAGCTCCTCATCCCCCAGCCTCAGGGCATACTTTTCAGACATGTGAGAAGCTGTCTCTGGGACCTGACCCTGTTCCCTGCTCATGCCCTACGTCGTCACGTAAAGTCTTTTTAGAGGTGACCTTTATGTGTTCGGGACAGATAATTGTGATTACCACCTTGCAGGTGAGAAATCTGTCAGAAACCTGACTAACGATTTCCTTCAGGGGCTGTGAAGGTTGGTGCATTTTTCTCTGAGCCGCGTTCTGTACGCCACCAGGAACCCTGAGCTGCGTGGGCTGTCAAGTTTCAGGTGTTTTTCGTGTTAGGAGGTGTCTTTCCCTTGTGGTCCCATTTGCCTGTCTGCACTCTGTGCCCACGGACGATCAGAGCGTTTGTGCCCCAGCACTGCCTGCGCCCTGGCTCCTCTCCCCCAGCCTGACGTTGCTCACACCCTTCCCATAATGACAGCAGGGCGAGCAGGTGGATGTGCTCGAGATGCAAAGTGGCATCCAGACCCCTCCCCTCAGTCCTTCTTCCAGGAAGCAGCTGAAAGCGGTAGAGGAGGGAGTGAGTCTGCCCAGCCTCTCTGGCCCCGGCCCTAGGGGCTCCTTCTGGGCAGTCCTGTCAGAACTTGAGCCCCTGAGGCCGAGGCCCTGACCTGGTTTGGCTTCGCTTGACCAGCGGTGGGGCCTCACCCATCAACCTCAGTTTGCAGGCCTTAGACTGAGGGTCTGCCGGGCTCTGGGACCCTGACTCCCTGGTGCTCAGCACCCTTGCCTCGACGCCTGAGGGCCTGGATGTCTGCAGCTCGCGGCCAGGAGGGCCAGGTAAGGGTCCTCTGCCCCGGCCCCGGCCTGGTGCCCTGCTGGGAAGGCGACATCTGTGCCCTCTCCCGCAGACCCTGTGCTCCGGAACATGGTGCCGCAACGCGCCATCCTCCTGGCCGGTCTCCTGGTGGAAGTTGCCAGCAAGTCCTCAGAAAGTGTGGTAAGCACCTGCCTCATGGCGGCAGGGCTGCAGGTGGGCTCTTTGCCCGGGGGTCTCACCCTTCCTTTAGGCGTCACCCTTGCCCCGGCCCCAGAGATGCTGGCCCTGCCCACTGTCGGGGTCGGAGGGAGGGCAGCAGACAAGGCCCCATGCTGGTACCTGGTCTGTTCTGCCTGCAGGAACCTCCTTTCTCTCTTTGTCCAACTGGACCACTCGCTGGAGCTGGAATAGGGTCTCCACAGGGCAGGCGAGGGACAGATGTGCGCTCTAGGTGCACTGCAGCCAGGTCGTGGCTCTCCTGAGCTGGGACACGGGTGTTCTGAGTGGTGGTTGGGGGGCGGGGGGCAGGGGGCCATGTCCGCACACTCAATGCTTGTCCTCCAGGATGGTGGCCCTTCCAGCAGCTCTGCCTCTGCAGGATTGGGGCCGGGACAGCTGGGTGTCCCTCTTGGGCTCGGCCTCCGCACCAGTGTGCTCCGACAGTTCCTCAGTCGCTCTTAGATGCCCTTTGCCAGTCACCGTGTTCCCGCCAGCTCAGCTGGGAGGAGCACATGGAGCAGAGCCCTTGGAAGCCCCCTCGAGCCCCCCCCCGTGTCTGGTCTGTAAGCACATGGACCCGGCAGGCATGCCTTCACCCCTCGAAATGCTGCCCTAGGCCAGACGCTTCCTCTTTGGGGGCCAAGCTGGAAACCCCTGATGGAGAGGTGTCTGTAGAATTGCAGAAACATCATAGCAGCACCCAGGACGGCAGGCTCTTTGGTCGGAGTGCAGAGCAGACACACTGTTTTGGCCGCCCAGGCCTCTCACCAGAGGGACCGGGGGTCTGGGTTTACCTCCCTGTTTCACCATAGTCTAGAAATGCATGTGCTTCCTTTTCAGGAAGGGTCTAGAGTTGGTGCTGAGCAGGGCTTAGCAGCTTAGCCCTTCCATTTTCAAAGCCACCATCCATCTGCGAGTGGCAACTAACATAAATAACTTCATAGTTGAAGTGCCCGCCCTGTGCCTGCCTGTGGCCCACAGGACAAGAGGCCCCAGCTCTGCCTGGGACCCAGGAGACCCACGTGAGAGAGGCCCCGAGTGGGCGAGTGGGGAGGAGACGACAGGGCACCTGCAGGGTGGGAGGCCCTCAGGACTGCCCCTGCCCACCAGGCTGCTCCCAGCCCAGACCCATGGCCAGAATCTCTGGGTGGGCCCCAGGGAGTCTCCTTCCCAGCTCTGGGAGTCCAGATGCCAAGGTCCAGCAGGACACTTCAGTTGTTTATTCAGTCATCAAACACTTGCTGGGGAGACCAGGGAGCATCCGTCAGGTGTGACTGTGCGTCCTTACCTCGCTCTGGGTTGGCAGGCCTGATGCTGACTAGAAGAGGCTGGAGCCCTCGGCGTTGCGATGAGCTTGAGAGGAGCCCCCTCATGGACGCCACCCTCCCTCTGCCTGGCCTGCCTGGCCTGCACTAGCCGCCCAGCCGTGGGGTCTGGAAACTCACTGCCATTTCCCCTCCAGGGTCAGCAGCCTGAGTGTTGTATGGACATGGCGGACGCCAATGCCACCTGCCCAGGCACAAGCCTGTGTGGCCCAGGTAAGCTTTGGCATGAGCTCATGTGAGCAGGGGGCACACAGACCCTCAGGAAGGAGGGGTGGAGGGGCAACAGAGGCAGTGAGGGTGGTGGGGCCTTGTGTGAGGCCTCCTCCCTCTTCCTGGATGGTGGAGGCAGGACCCCGTGGGGAGACAGTGCCCTGGGCAGTGGGAGTTGTGGGCAGGCAAGACTGTTGAGCTGGACCTGAGAACAAGCTGACGTAAGACAGAGTAACAGCAAAGCACACAAATGTGTACAGGCGTGCATGACACGGGGGTGGCTGGGTGAGCAGCAGGGCCTTGGTGCTCGCGCATCAGCTTGGACAGGGGCATTTGGGGCGAGTGAATGCAACACGGGCCTTGAAGGAAGGCGGGGAATGGTAGCGAGCTCGCCTGAGTCCCGCTGCCTCCTGGTTCAGGGAGGGCGTCTCCCATCGGGGGTTGTCTCTCACGTCAGAGGCGACGTCTTCTGGTTTCCTTCAGGCCCCACTTGGAACTTTACCTTCAGCACGTTTCACATTAAAGTAAAGGCCAGGTTGGTAGCTGTGGAGAGAAACTGGGTTAGAAGTTGTGAGATAAGAGCTCCACAAAGGGAAGAGAAAACACGACGAGACAAGCAGAGGAGACCCAGAAAAGCGCCAGGTCCCCGTCTCACTGGCCCTCAGTCCTGGGACAGGCCATCCCGTTTGACATGTTGGCGGGGGTGTTGCAGGTGGCTTCCCACCGAGGGGCGACAGCTGTGGGAACTTTCTGAGGGGCCCACACGCAGCAGGTGACGTCCCTGAGTTCACCTCAAGTTGTCCAGCCTCGGCTTTCGGGGCTTCTGGAAAAGGACGCTTTTAGTTCTTGGTGATATCAAGTCAGAAGTGTCGGAGAACATGGAAGCGTTAGTTGGGAGAGCTGGAGCCAGATATGGGAGGAGAACGGGAGAATCCAGGATCTGGCCCAGCAGGTGGATGGCCCTCAAGGACCATGAACAGGACTGGGACCTGCTGTCCCCCAGACCAGTCATCGTCTCCTGAAACGCAGTTTCTTTCTAAATCCCCTCCACTTCTACCAAGAAAAATCACAGCAAGACTAATTGCTTTCTAAAAAATAAATAAATACATGTATTTTTTTTGGTTAGTGGAGGTGCTGGGGGTTGAACCCAAGACCGTGTGCATGCTCAGAATGTGCTCTGCCACTGGACTATACCCCCACCCTCCAAGACTAATTGCTTGTAAAATAGGTCTAGCCTCACATGAAGAAATTCTGCCTTTGTCCATAAACCCTATAGCAACGGCAACAACAAAACCCAAAACCCCGAATCTAGCTTCGCCAAACTTGGCCTGATTGTCTAAGTAAGTTCAGCAAGAGCAGTGACTGACCACATGGGCTCTTTTGAAGTCTGGTTTGCTAGACCTTTTCACAAGGAACCAAACTGGACTCTCGAAGGCCTTTCAAGTCCAGGAAGCCAAGCCAAGGACTCACCACCAGACTTCACCTGCAGTGTCTATAATTTTGGGTGAATTCCCCTCTTCTTGAGTTCCCCATATCCTGGGGTTCCTGGCTCTGCCGGGAGGCGACTTTCCTTACTTACTGGGTGAGGCTGGGAACCCAGTAAGTCAGGCACCATGCTGTTTTTCCAAGGGGCTTTATGGCTCTGTGAAGTCAACTTTCACTCCTTAAACTTGCCTGGCCACTGTCCTGGCCCCCAGCCGTGGTTTGCCCCTGCACACACAGCCCAGAGGCAGCAGAGGGAGCAAGGGTCACTCCTGGGCCGGGGGCAGTGCACTGGTGGGGGAGGACCTTGTCCCTCGTGGAGGTGGGAGGTGGGGGTTCATCTCTGGTCCCTCCAGAGGTGAGGCTGTATGTACAGCACCTGTCAATTTCAGGTTCCCCTTTCAGCCTCTGAGGCCATTTCCATGGGAGTCCCCGAGTGAGAGAGGGCTGGCTGTGGTTCCCGTCAAGGTGGTTCTTTTTCTGGACTCCATCCAGACTAGCATCCGTGAATGAGTGTGCTTTTACAAACGCAAAAGTGTAGCACTTTCTGAAGACAGCCTGCTGATGCGGGCTTTGAGCTGAGCCCCTGTCTCTTGGTCACAGGTTGCTACGGGCGCTGGAGCGAGGACGGGACAGTCAGCTGCGTCCGGTGCAGGAACGGGACCCACAACAGCTCCGAGTGCAGAAGCCGTACGTCTTCGCCCGGTCCCCACCCCCCGCCCTCCGCGCCCACCTGCCTTCTTCTCACCGAGGGGCCACACCTCCGAGTTCTGAAGGAGGGGGTGGGGATTGTGTCTGTTGCCTCCACATCTCACCCTGGGCCACTGTCTCCCGGGGGGCGCCCCCCAGGAGCCCTCTCCCCAAGGCCTCTTGTCCATTCAGGACAGCTGTAGGGTGAGGGCTGCTCTGCCTCCACCGCCACTTCCCTTTCTCATTTCTGGCCCATGATTGCTGTTTGGGTTGTGCCTCCGGCTCCCCGGGGGTCCTCAGAGGGGTCCCCATGCGTGGTCCAGGAGCTCACCGTGGGTCTGGGCTGCCTGTGCCACCAGCAGCACCGACAGCTCTGCTCCCCTGCAGTCACTGGCCGGGGTGCACAGTCCCCTGTGAACAGGAGCGCAGGGATGCCTGGGCGGCCGAATTTCGGTAAGTTTCTTCCTCACCAGACCACCCCTCCACCCCGGAGGAAGCAGGACAGCATCTGAGCCATTCCCAGTGCAGACCCAACCACGGATGCTGGCCACAGCAGGGCCTCGTCCATGGTCAGGGTCAGGGTCCACCCCAGCCAAGAGCTCTGTGTACCAGGACCTAGCCCCGGCCACCTGCTCCGGACGGTCTGGAAGCTTGGCTGGCTTTGAAGTCAGGGTCTGGGGCTGATTAAAAAGGGTGGGGGGAGGCTGGGGTCATGGCTTGGGCCCACGGTGTGCCCCTGAATGGTCTGCTTAGTGGAAATTCTTACAGCTGCACATCTTAATCCTTTGCCTTGCTCGTAGCCCACCTGGCCCCAAGGTTGCTGGGAGCCGAGGATGGCGGTTCTCCAAGATGGGAGGACACCATCAGGTCCACTTGCCCCTGTCTCTGGTGGCTCTTCTACAGTGTAAGTCTCACAGGAGACTGCGAACACTGCAGGCTGGACAGACATGCCTGCACACCACTTGGTCCTCAGGGGCAGTCACAGGACCCCTCCTGGACACTCGGGTCCCTAGCCCACTCCTGCTGCCAGGCACCCATCGTACCTGAGATGCCCGCGGAACCACAGGGAGTGGCTGGGCTGTGGGGTACAACTGCAGGGGCATGGCCAGGCTGCAGGGGCGTGGTGCCCAAGCCACCAGTGGCCACTGCAGTCAGGGAGTGGGACCTTCCGCAGGGTGTGGCCACCTCTTCTGAGGTGCGTGTGTTGTGATGAGGGTCGTGTTCCCCCTAGACCCTGGTCCTTCAGCAGAGGATGTGTTGGACCAAGGCCAGACCGAGGGTTCAGGCCTTCCCCGCAAGTCTCAGGACCAGAAGCAAGCGGCCTGGTGCTGACATGGGTCACGGAGGCCACTACGCCGAGCAGCAGCATTTTGGGGTTGGAGCTCAAACAGCCTGACGTTCTTGCGACACGAGGCTGGGCCTTACAGCAGAGAGTGGCTGACAAGGACGCTGCGAGTCCAGTGTTGAGCCCGTTTCTGTTGTGGCAGATCTGGGGCCAGTTTAGCTGGGATTCCTCCCTCTGCTCCAGGATGGCTGTGTCTGGCCTCGTGCCTGTGTACAGGGTCAGAAAGGCACTTCCCACAGGCACCTAAACACATTCCCCCAGCTGTGGGGTCACTGACCACCCAGCCCTCGGCCGTCAGCCTGTGCTGACCCTGTGCAGGTAAGGGAGGCACTGGGAGGGCCGCTCCAGGTGACAGCCCGCAAGCTCCAGACAGGCGGTACCGGGCCCTGCCCCACAGTTTGTGCTGAGTCTCAGGAAGAACATGGGGAGCTCAGGCTGGAGCCTCTCAACATCCCACCTCCTCATGAGAACCCGAGGCCTGGAGGGTTGGCTGAGTGTGTGGGGAGGCCCAAGCCCCTGTGTGCGGGAGCCCCAGTGTGTTCACGGCATCCCAGACCCCCGGCTGCTGCTGGCAGCCCTGGCTTTGCTTGCAGGGGGCCCTCAGGTGGCAGCCTCCCTCTTCCTGGGCACGTTCCTCGTGAGCTCGGGCCTCATCCTCTCCGTGGCCATGTTCTTCTACCTCAGGCGTGCCAGCAAACTGCCCGCAGTCTTCTATGGAAGAAACAAAGGTATGTCCTGCCAGAGGGGCCCCAGGGGCACAGAGTGGGGCTGGGGCAGCAAGGGGACGCTGGGCTGTCACGGGGCTCTTGTGTCTGAGAATAAGGGGCAGTTGCCTCTTCAGAATGCTCCGTGCAGACATCGTGGGGTTCTCAATGTGAAGGGCGTTGGCGTGGCTGAACACCCAGGGCTATGTCCTCTCCCCGCCCCGCCCTGCTGGGATGGGGGCTGCAGTCTCTGAGGGCCAGCTAGTCCACTCTGCTGAGAAGGCCGGGGGGCTGAGGCTTGGGGAAGGGGCAGCTTGCCCCGGGTGCAGCAGGAGATGCAGCTGGGCAAGCTGAGGGCACTGCTGGGGACAGGCTGAAGGTGGGGCTGGACTGAGCCTAGAGTGGGGAAGACCTTCTGCAGGCCTGTGGACCCTGCCAGGCTGAGACCTCCCCGGCTGAGGGAGCCTCCCAGGCTGAGGGAGCCCCCAGGTTGACGGACCCCCCCAGGCTGAGGGAGCCCCCCAGGCTGAGGCAGTGGTGTGGCCTCCAGGTGACGCCTGTGCTCTTTCCTGCAGCCCCCGCCCTGCAGCCTGGCGAAGCAGTAAGTACTGAAGGGCTGGCTGAGGCCTGCGTCTGTGCGCCTGGGCCGGGGCCATCTGTCCGCATTCTCACTGTCCCTTTTCCCCTTTTCAAGGCTGCGATGATCCCCCCGCCTCAGCCCTCAGGTACGTCAGCGCTTCCTGTCCCTTGCCCTGCTGGGGCACCTCGTCTCTGGTGGGAATTTCAAAATGCCAGGCCCCCATCACCCACGGCTGTCATGCCTTTTCCCTTTTGTTTCTGAGACAAGGAGTCTGTCGAGAGGATTCCCAGCACAGGTCAAGGGGTCACCTGGCTGCCCTCAGCCCTTCTCCGAGCCCCAGCTCTACCTGAGCAGGGGGCAGGTCAGCGGGCACAGGGCCTCCTGCGGCCCCTCCTGAGTGGCTGGCACTTCAGTTTTGTTGCGTCAGATGTGTCACAGCGTCAGGCCACAGAGCAGGAGTCACTGGCTTCCTCTCCAGACCTTGCTCTTACCACTGTGCAGAGGTCTGGCGTGGGGACAGGTGAGGACGTCCCTCTTCTCTGGGGACAGATAAGTTACTTGGTCAAGACAGATCTGCCCTGTCCAGTGGATCACGCGTCTGAGCCCTCTGAGGCAGGCCGGGCACAGACGCAGGCCTGCGTTACTCTCC